TCTGTTCTGTGTCATATACCTTCTGAACAATAAAACCAGGATGCTCTTTCCGTCTAGGGATCTCCTTGTTTAATGGTATGAAGTGCACCACACACTTGTGCATGACCGACTCCGCTGGGACCGCATCTCGGTGAAAACTATAGAACAATTCCCTCGTGTCCCGTGATTGCCAATTTCCACCAGCTCTTTTTATTGCTTCCTCAGGTCGGTAAAACCACTGTCCTGTGACCATCAGGTTACCATCCTTGGTCTGAGTAATATCCTATAAGGGGAATATCAAATTGAGAATTCAAAAAAGAGATTAGAAGTGATTACCCACACTAAAATTAACAGCCAGAGAATCAAATATTACAAATAACTTCATGTCAAAACTAACACAACAGTTCAAGAGGCTGCGGATAAAATACTGGGAAATTCTGATCAAATCGAAAAGAAAAAATAATGATATGATAAGTCAACTCTCCAAGAAACAGATTACTTAACACTGAACTATCTGAGAGAAAGATCTCAATATAGACTCGTGACACGTTGTAATGTCTCTACTCCAAAACTACTTTGCTAATCCCAACAAAACTAGAGGTTAGAGGAGTCAAAAAAAACTACTCCTAGAAAACAGAAAAGTACCTGCATCCTAATGTCTAAATTTTATAATGGAATCAATGGAAGGTTGGGAGACATACAATTGCTGTTCCTATAAGGAACAAACATATCAGTCCTATGGTTCTTTGATATAGCTGGAAAAAATGCACCAAGAAATGATTACACCTTCCTTTCTGCCAAATTTGGAAGACATGTAACACAAATGTGGCAGTGTTGCATATCTTTCTCTTCCACTTCACTTCCTCTTCTACTTCCTACCAATGAAAGGAAATACTCACCTTCCAGCAACTACCCTCCACTTTTCACCCAACTTTAATATAGATGCTGGTATATGGGTGAGGGCAATTATTATCTTTTACAAGACTAGTTACTGTTCATCTGTTTTTCCTTCTTAGGCTACAGTTTAATGATTTGCTTCTGTAATCACCCCCTTCCCTTTTGTACTCACAGCTCAGGAGGTTTAATTCAGACTTTCAGAAGCAGCACCAAAGAGAGAGTATTCTCTGATGGTGCACCTAGAAGAGGCCAGATTGCAAAAGAGATCCATGTCCAATTGAATGTCCTAATTTCACAGAAGAAAGGATAATTTCCTAATACATAAGCTTCCAAAGAAGCTCAGATTGTACACTACAACCATAATCAATGGTGGAACTGACTTCATTCTTGATGATTGAACAGGAAATAGTATAGTTATTCACATAAGATGTACATGTCTCTAATCACCAAAACCAATCTCATTTATTTTTTTGGTTAATGGTCGTGTTTGAGCCAACTTATGCTACCCACCAAGGCTCAAAGCAAATGGAAAGAAATCACCTTGTGTTTTTTTATCTCTATTGGAATTTGAACCCTGATGCCCAAGGTTTACACCCACTTTGTGCCATACAGTTACCAAAAAAGTTTTGCATCTTCCAGGGAAAAGGAATTACCTTGATAATTGCCACATAAGGCTTCTGAAGTTGTCCTTCTGGAACCAAGAGCACGGGATCCTCCTGTACAAGAACATATTAGTAATGAGAGAAACATCATAGGTCAACAGTAGCTATATCACTTAAGAGACTAAGAGCCCATTTGACTTAACTTAAAAAAGTAGCTTTCTAAAAGTAGTTTTTAGAAAGTCAAACTTCAGTAACTTTTAAATAAAAAAATGAAAGTACCTACTTTTAACTTAAGTTAAGTCATTTTAAACTTATTCTAAGTTATTATTAACTTTACCAAACGATCCTAAAAGCAAAAAATGACTTAAAAGTAGGTTTCACCAACACTTAAGCCAATTTAAACAGACTCAAAGGGGCAGAGTGGATCCATGAAATCACCTCCTTCAAACATTACGGATGAAATGTTTACCAAGGAAAATAATTCTCTTGGAAAGTGTTTTTACATCATTTTCACTATTTTCCAATGTTTAGTCAGGTATAAACATAATTGACATATCATAATCAAATGAGATGAAAGACAGGACAGGAAGATAGTGCTTTGGAGATATTTCTTTACATCGAAGATTGAGAATAATGTAGTACTGGTTGAAGCCGGTAATCTGGAGTAACAATTTGTATATTGTAAAGAAATATGAGTTCTGCTAATTAGCATCAGAGGCAAAGGGCAACCCAATGCACTAAGCTCCGGCTATTCATGGTGCACGGGGAGGGGGGAGGGGTCTCTATTGCTCGCAGCCTTACACTTTGTTTGGATGGATGTTGCATATTGTTCCATAATTTGAATGATAAAACTATCATAAAGGGTAGTAGGGTAAAAGATAAAATGTAATTATTAACCAATAAATCGAGACAAAATGAGAAGAAATATTAAGGTAACGACAAAAGGATCTTTTTGTCGTTACCTAACAATGGTCTCTACATAAAGATCTTTTTGTCGTTGCCTAACAATGGATTTAAAGACATCGTTAGGTAATGACAAAAAGATCTTTTTTATGTAACGACCAATTTGTATTTTCTTCTAAATTTTGTCAACAATGGATTTAAAGATACCATACAATACAACAGGTAACAACCATTCAAACAAGGTGTTACCCTGCATTTCTGCCAGATGCTGTCTCTTTTCCACAGTTCAAAAGGCATCAATTTTTTCTATCATACTAAAAACAAACCTCACATTTCAAACCCTAATTCAGCTACCAGACATGGGAAATGAGCAGAAATTTTGCAAAAAACAAAAACTAATCTTCAATTAATTTAATTTCCTATAGTTATTCAAAAGCATTATTTGATGAAACGAAACGAATAAATGAAAACTCACAAGTTCGTAGCGATTTCCATCGTACTCGAACGACTCGTAATGGGTTTTTCTCCCTTTTCCTTTTCCAGTAACCCTAATCACCTCACCAATAGGCTTAGCATCTTCCTGCTGTTCTTCTTCCTCCTCCTCCTTAACCGGTTCGGGTTCTTCCTCTTCTTCTTCAACTTTCTTCAGTTTCTTAATCCTCTTCCCCCTTCCCCTCTCCTCTTCCTCCTCCTCCTCGTTCTCCGGTACTTTCCTCTTCGTCCTTCTCTTATCTCTACTTTCATCCTCTGTATTCGCTTTCTCCTCTTCTTCTTCCTCTTCGTCGAGCCTCACTTTCTTCCTCTTCCTCTGATTCGCTTTCTCTTCGTCGCGTGTCGGCCGCGATGACAGCTGCACGTGATCATCCTCGTCATCGCTTACCGCAACCATTGCATTCCGCCGGTTTCCCATTTTTCCGATGGGTGAGTAGAGTAACAAGTGTCGGAGTAAAGGTAGAATTTGGTGCGACTGCGACTACAACAATCAATTTATAGATTTGCCTATTATTTGAACCATAACGGAATCACAAGTTTCACTAAAAATGAGTTTGTATAATTAAATGAACACAAAATAAAGTTAGGGTGATTGAATATATGTAAATATTGTAATTTAATTAAATATAAGAAAATATATAGTTTATTAGATGGAAATTTGGATGAGTCTTGTTGATTTTATATTTTTGAATTAACTCGATTGACTTTATTTATATCTAGCTTCATTTTTTAATAAGTCGTATTAATCTTGGCTTCGTCCCGACAATATATTTTTGACTTTCTCAAAGTTTGGGTGATAATTTTATTTTCGTACTAGGGTTATTTTATATAGTTTAGTAAATGTTTAAATAGGTTGCGTATTGAGTGGAATAGTGTATATAGTTTTTTTTAACAATTTCATTTATTAATTATTAATTATTTAAAATGTTAATTCGATAGTCAATCAATTAATTTGATAATAAATTAGCAATTATTAGACTATACATTAGCTAATGTTTATGTTAACTTCTTTTTAAACGAGGAGTGGATCACAGGGAAAATAATAGTATAAGAAGACTTAACAAAGTTAAATTTTTTTATAATAATAAATACAAGCTATATCAACATATTTATGAGTCATTCAAATTAAAACAAATTATATTTTCCATTTTGTAATTCATTTTACTACAATAGTATATATTAGTTATGGAAAATTACGTGGATAAGTAAATATTAATTAGAAATTATAGTTATAATTTGAATTGATTACGATTTATAGCTTAATTCCAGTTGTAATTACGTCGCCTCTCTCCTGTTGTAGATATATAGAAATGCAAATTATACATATACATATGACACATATACAAATACAATAAGTCTATCTTCACTCTTTGGCATCTCTTCTCGCTCTCCTATTCGCGCTCGTCTCTATCCTCTCTCTCTCAAACTCGCTCGACGGATATACTAACACATATGTATATCAGTTACATATACAATTATCTAAAAAGTATACATATACAACTCGCTTCTCTCCACTCTCTTTCATCTCTCGATCGCCTCTCTCCTCCCTTTCTCAACCTTGTTCGCAAGATATAAAAATACATATGTATATCAGTTATTTATATATAATTATCTAACAAATGTACATATACAATTCGTCTCTCTCTATTCTCGTACCTCTCTCACTCGCCTCTCTCCTCCCTCTCCCAATCTCGCTCATATGTCTCCTCTTTTTCCCAATCTCGTTCGCCAGATATACAAATACATGTGTATATCAGTTACATATATACAATTATTTTACAAATATACACGTACAGTTCAACTGATATACATATACAATTCATCTTTTTCTCCTCTCTACCCACTCTCACTCACCTCTTTCCTCCCTCTCCTAATCTGGCTCACCTCTCTCCTCCGTCTCATAATTTGGCTCGCCTCTCTTCTTCCTCTAACATATAGCTACAAATCGTGATTGTCAAATTATAGTTATGAAGCATAATTAAGTTATCTTTAAGTGACTTGTGCGGAAATTCATCTAATAGTTATATTTAGTCTTAACACTTTTAAAGCTACTTTTTGATTATAATTTCTGTTAATCAATATTGTATACTTTGTATTAACACTTATTCTTAAGATTAAGAAACATCATTTAAAAAAAAAAAATCTTTAACAAAATTTAACCTTTTATGGGCACACATAATGAAATTCCTCATTATCTATGACTAAAGACCATATTTAAAATTATGTTAGGGGTGCCACTCTGAATAGACCTTGCAGTACGCGATCCGAATTTGATCGGAACGCACAATTATGAGCTCAACGGGCAACAACTCAATTCTCAGAATCAAAGAGTAAATGGAACAGATATATTGGAGAACTTCCTAGTATTGTTACTCTGACTTTCAGCAATTTCCTTCAAACTAGTCCAAGACTTCTTCTTTCTCTTACTGGATGTTGAGACAGTCTTCTCAACATCTGTCATTGATGAACCATCCTGGGTTTCACCTTTCTTCTTGGACCCTGTTCGATTTCTTTTCCTCTTCTTTGAATCCAACAAAGAAGTAACAGAAACTGTTGACAATGGAGTTGCAGGACCAGCCATAGGATCATCTCCAACTAGCTCAGATGAAACTGTTGCATCCGTGGTACTGCCCCCAAAAGCATCGAACTGTTCAGATTTTTGGGTTGCTGATTCAGTAGTGTCAACTCTTGTCTTATCGATACTAGCCACTAACGTATCCAAATGTTCAGACTTTTGCATTGCAGATCCAGTAGGATCAACTCCTGCCTTATCAATACTAGCCACTAACGTATCCAACTGTTCAGATTCTCGGGTTGCTGATTCAGTAGGATCAACTTTTGTCTTATCGATACTAGCCACTAACGTGCCCAAATGTTCAGATCTTTGCATTGTTGATTCAGTAGGATCAACTTTTACCTTTCGGGTTGCTGATGTAGCAGGGTCAACTGTTAAAGTTTTTGGTTTGGCAGGATATAGGCTATTCATATAGCCTCTTGAGTTTCCTCTCTTTAGATTTCGATGTGAGCAGAAATGACACTCATATACAACTGAGTTCTTCGAGGGAATACCTGATGTTTTGCGTTTCTTTCGTGCCTTTCTTTTGTTCTTCTCAATCCGTGCTGTACTATTGTAGCCAGCCTGAAGGATAGATTCACACCTGTGAAATATCAATTACAAGTTAGTATGCAAGCGTAGAAAAAGAATGAGAAGTCGACAATGACTCATTCAACATTAGGATAGAGAGTTGTTTCCGATAGACTCAAGAGATCTTTAGATGCGTACAGTGATCCGTTTGCAGTTCATCATTGGATGTCATTTCTACATTGGTTCGTACAAATGTCAAAAAGAGATGTCTAGGAGGATATAGTGCAGGCAGACCTTAGGTTGTTTTCGACAGACTCCAAAGAAAACAGTCCAAAGCAGTCCAGAAAGAGAATAAGCTAAAGTGTAAGCATAACAGCGCATTCTGAACAGTACAACGAAACAATACGATAATTAATGTACAAGAAACAAAAGATAGTAACAGAAATTACAACTACTAGTATGGATGGATAGCAATACAACACATTACTAACTAGTGATCTTCTATAACCTCCTGCGCTAATTTGTATCCTCGATATGCTCCAATCTAAGGTCATGTCCTCAGTAAGCTAAAAACTACGTTATGGCTAGTCTAATCACCTCTCTCTAAACCATCCATAGCCACTCTCTCACACCTCCACACATTTGTGCATCTACATCTCCATGCCTGAACCATCTCAGTCTAGCTTCCCGCATCTTGTCCTCAACCAAAACCACTCCTACCTTATTCCGAATATACTCATCTCTAGTCCTATCTCTCTTACTATACCCAACGTCAACAAATATCCATTTTTTAACCAATCACAAGATTAACAAAGTATGCATTCATAAATGCAAGACAAATCAAACCAAAATTATATGAAAAAGCTCAAACCTTTGACAGGTTAATAATGAAGGGTCAGGTGAAACACCCAAAGACTCAGCTGATACAGCTAATCTCTGCCCAAAAAACGCAGCAAGTGAAGGTATGGAACCTTCTCCACTAGTCCAGTTAGCAATATCCTTTATATGCTCCAATTTCAGCATCGATTTCGCATTAACAAGAGTTTGTTTCTTCTTCACACCTGATTCTTCTCGCAATGTAATTGAACCAGATGCTTTACCAACTCCATTCTTCCTCGACGGTTTCTTACCCATTTTTGCCGTCGGATAAGGTTTTCCGCCGTCGCCGGAGTCGGTAAAGCGAGCCGCCGACGACTTCCTCTACGTGAAGCTGATATAACAAATATTGGGCTAGCTTTACTTAAAGCCCATATTCAAAACCCATGTTAGTTTATTGGCCCAAAATGGTATTTATTTACTAGGAAATTTCGTAAATAGCCACTAAAAATAATTTAATTAAGCTTTATAGCTATTATTTGATAATTACGATCCGTATATGCTATAGGAAGAAAAGAGGCGATCGAAATTAAGAGAAGGAGAAGAGAGATGAGTGAGAAGACAGAGAATGAAGAAAGGTAAATTATATTTATATATCTATTAAAATATTAATGTATATCTATCATATAATTGTATATATATGATAAATATACATATGAGTTTGTATCAAGCGAGCGGGGTTGGGAGATATAAAAGAGTAACGAGAGAGGCGAACAAGTGAAGGCGGAGACGGAAGCTAGTTTTAGTTAATTATTTCTTCAAAGTCAATGTCTCTCATATTTGACATTTATTTAATAAAAAAAATCCGATAATGTCAAATAAAATAACATTTAATAATTAATAGTCAATAAGATTCCTATGTTTGTAATTTGAAAAAAGAAAAAAATCTTCTAGAAACTTATTTCTAAAATATATATTTTTCCTTTCAACGAAATTTGACATTTGGTAGATTTTAATGAATTTAAGTTTGACACGTTGTTATGTCAACGTGGCACCACGTGGTTCTTAGGAATTCACTTGTCTATTTAGACTCATTATTTTCAACCATTATAAAAAAATATAAATATATTTTGGTCAATTTAAATTTATAATTGTAAGATTTATTTTTAGAGGTATTTGTAATTGAACTTCGCACTGTCAAAAAATCAAATCTAAAATTTATAAATTGAATCATCTCACTATAATTTAAATCGTTGATCGACATAATTGATATTTTTATTGGAGAACATTATTTAATTTTTAGAATATTCTGTAAATGTTAAAGCGCTTACTCAAACATAAAACGTCAAACACCAAATTAAGAAAATCAATTTTTTTACAAAAAATACATCAAAATCAAATTAAAAGTCAACAAACTAAATTAGTTCGATTTAATTCTTTCTTCTTTTCAAATTCACCTAGAAATATTAGTTACATTGTACTGCATATTTTGAAACATTATCGATATAATTTCTATATTAGTAGCAACAATGCTAGCTAACCAAATATTTAAGTAACAATAAATAGGATAATAAAGTAATATATATTTATATATATATATCATTAACATGATATGTACATTAAGAGCAATTATATGTGTTACGTCTATATTTATATTTAATTATATGAGCAAAGAAATGGAATAGCGTGTGTGATTAGATGAATATGACATTTTCTCACACTACTATCCACAAAACTCTTAATTAAAGTTTGAAAAAGACCACTTTCAAACTCATTATTTTAATATTCTAGAACCAATAATTATTTGGCACTACAACAACCCATATTATAATTTCATAAAATTGGATACATAAAATATAACTATGATTTGTTGCTAATAATAAAAATCAATTAAGATCGAATATAATTGATTTTTTTATAAAATCTATTTCAATAAAATATATACACTGATATCTCATGCGATATAAAACCTACTTAAAAAATTCAATCTATTTCATGTAATTTTAATGAAATGCTCCTTTTTCTTTTTCTTGTTCTTTTAATGGGATTCCCCATTTTCTTGGTTTGGTATGATACCAAACTCTAATATATAGGCTTTATCATCAACAATATTATCCATAACCACAAAAAAGTCTTTTAAGTCATAAAGTACTTTTATAATATGATCACTTTTTCTAAGCAACTATAGTTTAATTATTGAGTTGCAATAATTTTGCTAAGCCTATTAAAATAATAATTGAACTTAGAGTAAAGAAAACAATGCATATTGCTCCAACAATAATGGATGCTCCCATTGTTGTGGTTGATGTTCATTAGATCCCACTAGAGGAAACATAACACAAAATAAAGAAAAATCAAGTGGGGTGGGGTAGGGTAGGGTAGGGGGTGGGGGTGGAGGTCAAAATTATCTTCTTATTTTTTTCATGTTATTACTCTTATAATTATTGAATATTTAAACACGTGATATAGTTTTTGTCAAATATTTTTATGCGAATATCTTATAATTATTGAATTTTCTTTTATGCGAATTTTGAATTTTCTTTTATGCATGTAATCAAATGTCTATTACATTAAACAGTGAATCACTTAAAATATGTAAAATTCTTTTAATTACATAAACTAACCTCAAATATACATAGTAGTAAATCTTAGACGTATCTCAATTAACTTTTGAATTTTTCTAATATGTTCATAAATATTTATTACGTAGATAAAATAAATCGGTAAACTTTGTTATAACCCAATAAAAAATAACGAGTAATAATTTATTTATTTTAAAAAAATGAGTCAACGACACTATATATTGTTACAAAAATCAACTAAAATTTTTAGTCCATCATAAAAGTATGAGAAATTATATTAAACATTTAGGATTAATTTTTTTTATAGACTAAACAGAATAATACTTCATATTATAGGGGTCAAAATGAAATAACTAAACTATAAGGGCAAAAAGTGAAAGCAACCAAAGTTTAAACCGACATGTTGACCCGGTTCCATCTTTGGCCGGCAACTCCCGGTTCACCGGTTCAACGAGTACCCGGTTCAATTTCTCATTCTCCTTCTCTATAAACCACACATATACACAATTTTCCAAATACCAGAGCTATTCATAATAACCAAAAATATAAAAAAATCTTTTCTGTGTATTTTGCTTTCTTCCCCAATTCACCTCAGGTTCCTCCTAACTTTATCTTTTTTTGTAAATATAAAAAAAAAATTGAATTTTTAGCTTATTTTGTGTATATTGTTCACAAATCTAAGATTTTTCTATTAGGATAATCTTATTTGTGTGAAATCTTTTGGGGTTTTCCTTTTTTTCTGTGTATATTTTGATTTGGGTTTGGGTTTGGGTTGGTTGTTCTTATCTTTCCTTTTCCTCTAAGTAATCTACTTATTACGTTTGATTATTGAATTTACGTGTTGTGGACGAAATTGGGGTTGTATTGTGTTATTTAATGATGGGTATTGAGTAAAGTTTGGATCTTTATTGTTAAAAGGGTTGCTTTATTTGTTCCCTTTTGTCCCTTTAGTTGTGTGGTGATTTGGGGGAGTTTGAAAGTTCAATTGGGTTTGTGGGATTTGTTGAGATTGTGTTGAGTTGGGGTGAGTTGAGAGGTTTTGCGGTGGAGAGTTTGATTCTTTGAAGTTAAAGATTTGGTGTTGGTGTTGGTGTTGGTGTGGTGGGGGTGGAAGATTAGTCAGTGAGGATGGTTGAATCAATTGGTGCAATATCACTTTTAGGGAGGGTGCCAGTTTATGGAGTTAATTGTAGCAAAGATGTGTCGAGTAAACGGAAGTCGATTGATGTATGTCGATTGCCTTCTGCTGATTTTCTTGGCAGAAAGCTTGTTTGTGGTTCGAATTTACTGAGATTAAGAGGTGATTGTGTGAGGTTTTCGTTGATTAGAGGTCAGGCGATGGAATTGACCAAAGAGGCATTTTCGTTCAGAGAGGACGAGAAAATATCTAAAGATTTTCGTTATAGGATTGAGACTGATGTGGATAAAAAGCCAGGGAAATGGCCACCAACGAATAAAGCTGATAATCCAGCTCTTCATAATCCATTGCTTAGACAAGAGAGGATGGGCTGTGGATGGTTAGCAGCTATATTTGAATGGGAAGGTGTGTTAACTGAAGACAATCCAGATCTCGAGAAGCAGGCGTGGTTAGCTCTGTCTCAGGAAGAAGGAAAATCACCTCCTCCGGGTTTTATTTTGAAGAGAATTGAAGGAATGAAGAATGAGCAAGCGATATCAGAAGTTCTATGCTGGTCAAGAGATCCTGTTCAAGTGAAGAGAATGGCTACTCGGAAGGAAGATATTTATCAAGCCCTGCAGGGGGGAATATATAGCTTCCGACCTGGATCACAGGAGTTCGTCAACACCCTGATGCACTACAAAGTGCCAATGGCTTTAGTGTCTACACGTCCAAGAAAATATGTCGAGAATGCAATTGGTACCATTGGCTTTGAAGGGATATTTAGTGTAATTGTAGCTGCAGAGGATGTTCACAGAGGGAAGCCTGATCCGGAGATGTTTGTCTATGCATCACAGCTTCTACAATTCATACCAGAGAGGTGTATTGTGTTTGGGAACTCAAACCAAACCGTCGAGGCTGCACATGATGCTCAGATGAAGTGTGTTGCAGTTGCTAGCAAACATCCAGTGTATGAGCTTGGTGCTGCTGACTTGGTTGTGAGGCACCTTGATGAGCTCTCGATCGTTGACCTAAAGAACCTTGCTGCTGTTGAGCTGACTGAATTTGGATCTCCTGAACCAGAATTGGAAATGGAAGAAGAGGATGATCCTTATCCTCCATCTGCAGTGGCCGTCGATGATGGTTTCTGGTAACATCTCCCCAATGTACAGTAGTCGCGCTTAATAATATTCAAATAGGATATAGAAAAATGTAAACTAAAATGCAGGGCAAGAAGTGTATCAGAAGGTGGTCTACATTGGGCTGCCATCAACCTGACTTTGTATGTGATATTTGTATTATATATGTATATCTTCTGACCATCGCGTCTTAAAAGGTTTGAACATAAATAACATAGAAAATAAGATGCATATGAATGGTTGAAAGCTCTCCCTGCGTAAAGAGAACTTGCAACACAAGCGTTGCTGTGTAGTTATCTTTGTCGAAATCGTATTCATTTCGTTGTAGCAGTGAATGTGCTGCATATGTACTTTAGCTAGTGTCTCTTGGTTTTCTCTGGCTAAGCACTATGATTTTTGCTCTGTGGTTGTAGCAGAGAATGTGCTGCGAATTTATTGATGTTGGTAACTAACTATGCATTGTGTTTCACTAAACAATGAAACAAACAATAAACTGGGATAGGCAGGATAGGGGTTGCTCGACTGGTAAGCACCCTCCACAAAGAACATCAGAGGGTAGAGTGTGTAGGTTGTTAGAATCTTCAACATTGAAATAAAATACACAACAGAAATACATAAATTATTACGATATCAGTAATATATTAATCATATCAATCACTTAAACATAAATTTATTTAAATTATTACAATCGTACCGGTTATTCAGAATATGTTATTACATCAATTAAAAATTATTCAAACACTGAGATGACTATAATTATGACGGCATTCTGGGCACGTCATGTTTGTAATCATCCAGTTATAAATACAGCCATGATGATACACATGGCTGCAAGGGAGGAGTCGTACGTACTCAGTCTGTTTGAATTCTGTCAAACAGATCTTGCACGTACCGTCTGTAAAGTTCGTTCTGTCTTGTACCGGATATGGTACCTGACGGAATGAACTAACGACCCGTCTAACGGGTCGCTGGGCAATGTAGAGTCTAAACCTGTCAGACACCTCCCAGTATATAAAAACTAACAATATAAGTATTATTCCTAACAATGCAGCTAAAATGAACATTCCAACAGTTGAGTTAGATAGATCCTGCCATATATATAATTTGGCAGAAACCGAAATGATGAAGCAAAAAATAATAAATATCTGGTTGAGAAGAAAGAAAAAGGTTACCAATTTGCATTTGTTGATCAACGCATAATAAAGAAAGAAAATGGATTTATAGATTCGTACCTTAACGTTAAGGAAGAAGAAGAACATGTTTCCTGTTGCTGAAATGGGATTTATGATAAATGATAGATTTTTTCTTTTGTTCAAATGAACATCAATGGTGTTTGTGGTATACATAATTAATTTGAAAAACCGAAGAGTGAACGTTTTAATTATTTGCAATTTACTTGCTACAAGTTAATAGATTTTGCTGTAAATGTTTTTTTTTTGTTAAGGAACCTTACAAAAAAAAAGTTATTTCTTTTTTTGGATGGAAACGTGAATGGCTGTCAAAATAGGAAGAGGAACGAAGATAAAAGAGAGTTTATGACTTGTATAAAATGAAAATTGAGTATTTTGGTGGTGATGGATGTAATTTTGAGAGTGCTAGCTATATTGGGAAGTTTCTTAGTGCAATTTTATTCTATTCTTGACTAGATTCTCAATATAGTAATTAGAGACAGAATCTCTCACCTCTCGCTAACTGAAGCATCATTCCCAGACAGGCAAATGAAATTTTAAAAAGAACCTTGTTTCAACATCTATGGCTATATCTCCTTAAGTCATTCTTAAAAATATTCTTTAGATATATTTAGTTAAAATTATTCTAAACAGAGTGAAGGCTGCTACAAATACATATATTGTCTCAAAGTCAAATATTTGTGACATATTTTGTTTACTTTCAAAGTAATTATATTTAAAGTAGTTGACTTTCTCCTGGTCCCCGTACAATACATAATGTTTCAATTTTCCAGGTCCCATTCGTGGGTCATCTATAAGTCGATACAAATTAGTATCGTCAACACGTACTAACGTTCTATATATGTTTATTAATACACCTTTATGATTTAAAACTGTAAGCTTTCCGCAATAAGCATCATAACCAATGTTTCCAATAGGAAAATAACTTGATCCCATCGGAGGTTTAGGCACGCCTGGTGGGCTGTACGCGACACCTCCCCACTCAATGTTATTAGCAAAGCCTGTCAAGCTTGTGAAAATCTTTTGAGGCCAAAAACCAATTTGGATATTTCTTTCATCAAGTAAAAGCCACCAATTTCCATTGGTTTCATCCTTTTATTAAAAAAAAATAAAAAAATGAAATATTAGTGTATATATATTTAGCTTTCAAAATCTTGAAAAATACTTTACATACAATAAATAAATACCCGTTCGATAAGCATCGGGAACTCCCATGAACCCCCTGCTCCACGTTGTGAAGTATCATTGAAAACTATATCAACAGGTATATCAGGGTATACTTGCACAAAACCGGGACATAATATATTGAAACAATGTTTATCACCAGCCTAGTAAACATGAACTGTCGTAAATAACTAATTGAAGGAGATTTCAAATTCATGAAGGAAAAAATAAATAAATAAATATACTTACTTGAAAATGCACGAAAAGCCTAGTTTTATTGTCCTTATATAGAGTTGGATCCACCTAAAATAAGAAATAGATATTTAATTTATTTTAGTAATGAACAAAACAAATTAGATGACTAGTATATCGTGATTTCATCAATAACGATTCATTAGAATATGCTTGTTAGATGTGTAACATTCAAATCACCCACACTTTAATTACCAATGAATAAGATAATAAACTTACTCTCCAACCAACTTGTATAATGTCTGATTCTTTTTGAATTTTCAATCGACATGCACTGTGTTGCTGACCTTCAACTTGAGGATTATATAGACTACTGGACATTTCAGCTCCCGCAAATTTGTTCTTTGGATTATATGGAGTTCGAACTATTGCCAACTGTATATAAAAATGAAAATGAAAATGAATTATTTGTTAAATCATGATAGGGTGCATTACTAAACTTAGCCTATTTACTCTCTTAAAGCAATTAGCATAGAATTTGGTACTTTGCATACTTTTAATTTAAATTTTATGTAAGACAAGTGATACATATATAGCAAAAAAAAACCGTTACCTTGTATCCTTGTGAAGATATATATCTTCTTTTTGATTCACGTTTATTATTCATCTGTTTATACACATAATGAAGTATATGAGACTTGTGGCTATGAATGATGAATATATAAGTAGTGGTGCTTAACATAGTAGATTTTACAATTGAAATTATGATTATATTATTTAAGACAAAGTAGTGAACTAATGTAACATTATATATCTTACAGTAGTCAATTCGGCGTCAGATATTACATCTTCTGGCGGTGGCATATTTCGTTGTCTAATAAGATCCTCTCTAGTAATCCTTCTAATGGGAACCGTTCCAAAAGAACAACCATCATCTAATTTGGACCATATTCTTGATGACCAATTAGTTTTAGAGGTACTTGAATTTTGTTTTGACCTTGCTAAAGTAGGTTTCATCTGTCCGTCCAAAACTCAAATGTGTATTAATAAATAATTTAATTATTATAAAGTTTATTTTAAAAGTAAAGTGGAGAGAGAAAGAAAATACATGCCTCCGGATGAAAATTGTGATTCTTTAATAACGGATGATCAAATGCTGGTTGTTTATAGAAATCTACACAATCATATATATCTCCAAACTTACTCTGAGAACCAACATGATTAAGTTATTTTTATTACAATTAATAATACACATAAGTACAATAATCACTCACAAGACTTCTAAAAGTAATGACTTTGTTTGCCCAAAATATGTACCTTAATTGTTTTAACTGATGGCTTGTTAAGAAGCTTAAATTGTTCTTCCAACTCTAGCTCCTCAATTTTAGATAGCAATGTTTTTCCTTGAACGCTATCATAATTCAAAAGAAGATACAACACCAATAAAGTTTGTCGAATAATCCCTTGATGGAGGATCAACATTGCCTGAATACATTAATTTACTTTTTAAACAATTCACAGCTTTAAACAACAAAATTATTGTTAATTTTTAGATTATTAGCTAACAAAACATGAAAACAATAGGTAATGAACTTACTCGATTTACTCTGGTGTATGAACGCTAAAGTGTTTTGAACACCTAATATTTCATCTTTGGCTAGTATGAGGAAGATGTTACATATGTATATAGTTGGATTTTGGATTGACTATTGCACGTGACATTAATGCTATCTTTTGAAATATTGCCTAACAAATTCTAAAAGAGTTTATTATTAATTAATTATAATAAATGGTAATTGCTCATTTCAATTAAAATCCAAAAGGATAGTTTGACCACATTGACTTTTCATTTCTCCTATAAGTTCAAGGATATATATATATATATATATATATTTGGATGATTTAAATTCAGGCAAATTCATGTTTTGATTGATTTGAAAATTGGTTAAATTTATTTTTAAGTCAGTTTTTAATTATTTAAAGTGTTTAATAAATATAAAAATAAGCTAGAAAGTGTTTGACAACAAGTTAAAAAACAAAAGTAGGTCTCTCCCTACTTTTATTTTGACTTAAAAATTATTTAAGTTTGGCTTTTTTAATTTTGACTTAAAATCTATTTTTGTTTTAAGTCAAACCAATCAGGCTCATAGTATAACTGAGTTCTAAAAGTACAAATATGTAATTAATATTACTCTCTCCGTTTAACAAAGAATGACCTAGTTTGACTTGGAACGGAGTTTAAAAAAAGAAAGAAGATTTTTTAATCTTATGGTTCTAAATTAAAGTTTATATCTCATTCCACTCCTACACATATCCCTTCTTCGTTAACCATTTTTATTCCCTTTTGCATGTGCTAAATTCATATCAAACTCTACATAATCAACATTAGTAAAGTGGCAACGTCAGTTTTTTTTAGTTTTTCCTATTTGTATATGTTTTTCAATCGTATCATATATTTGATTCGATGCTTAATATTTTTTTTAGCCAATTTATTATAGGGTTTTTATATTGTTTGCTTCATTTTAATGGCTCATAATTCAAAAAATATTATGAATATTTTTATGTATTCAAGATATATGCTTTCGAATATAATGTATGAAATTGATACTTGATACATCCTATTAATAATAAGTATACGAAATTAAAATGAGATCATATAATAGATACGTGAAATCAACATTATATCATATAAATAGATACATGAAATTAATATTATATCATATAAATAGATATATGAAATAATAGTAGACACATAACAAATACACAAAAGTAATATTAGATACTTCTATGATACATATGAATCTACTTGTATGATACTCATGTATCTAGGTGTTTTGTTTGTTGGATACATCATATATTGATAATAGATACATCAAATTAGTGAATTTTATAATGTTAAGAGTAATAAAGTGAAATTAATCAAATTGCATGACCAAGATATACATGTTTTGTCTTTTAAAAATAATATTCACGAATTTATTATTTCAAATAATAATAAAATAAAATAAGGAAAAAAACTACCTTTCTACCCATACATAATAAAGTGAAATTAATCAAATTGCATGACCAAGATATACATGTTTTGTCTTTTAAAAACAATATTAATGAATTTATTATTTCAAATAATAATAAAATAAAATAAAATAAAAATATATACACTCCTTGATTTCCACCTTATATTAAGGAAATTGATTAAAACTAATTAATTTAAACAAATAAAATAGTTATCTCAATTTTAAAATTCGGCAGAACATGTATTTCAGGGATTCAAACTCGTGTATCCTAAGAATGAAATATGGTAGAGAAAGCAACATTTTAAAACTATTGGGAATCTAAGTAATTAGGACATAAACTAATGAGATTTATGTAGTTCCTATATTAATCCTTTAAAAAAAACACAAATCAAATACATAATACGTAGCTCGGATACATTAAATACTGATTCAAATACAATAATATGTAATCCGGATACATAATATATAGCTCGAATACAGCAACAAATGTGTTGCATATGTTCCTGGCTAAGCACCATGATTTCCACTTCACTAAACTTTGTATAGAATAGAATCTTGTTTCACTGGGACAGGCAGGGTTAAGGGTTGCTTGGCTGGTACGCACCCTCCACCTTCAAGAAGGAATAAAGTATCGAGCCCGGGGGTTATTTTTTTTTTGGAAGGGGGGTGGTGGTGTAAAAGAAGGTCAGTACACTCAAAAATGAGAACAAGTGGAGAAAGGAGGAAAATTCATATGCATGAAGAAGCATATGTTTTTGGTGATTGTGTTTGTTTCTTGTCTTTATTTCATTCTTTTTCGAGCAGCGCTTGAAATTTTTGACTCTCTCAGTCGTCGTTCACTTTTGATTGTCATTATTTTCTTTTTTAGAGTCAAACGATAAGAATTTCGATTAACATTTGACGATGTACTTTCTTCGTCATATTGATATGCAAAACAATGCATTGTTTGTTTAAAATATCGAAGTAATGTAATCTAATTTAAATCTTAAAATTAATTAAATCAACTTTTGAAAAGCACAACATAACAACTAAGTATTTGATCGGAAGAACATTGGTCAGAGTGAATGTATAACTACTCCGGCGAACCATGCAAACTACTCAAGTCGTTTAGTAGGTGGAGACCTGAAGGGTTGGAAATCTTTTACGATGTCACACTACTCTTTCGTAAAGTGCTCTTCCCACTCTTTCTTACGATAGAAAACCGTTTTTGAGATACTTAGCCTCATAAAATTGCTTCTAAAATTATATATTTTGTAATTTATGATATAGATAACATAAAACTAGTTTGAATTATATTTTACCTTAGAAAAATATTGTTTCAGATACATGTATTTGACGAAAAATTGGAATAGAATCCGTTGAACATAACATGGGCTGTGGGGGTAATTAGCTCTTGTGACCCAGCCCATTATAATTTTGGGCCAGGTGCCTTGCTCAGTTGTTTAAAGCCCATTTAGACAAATTTTCAAGTTTTTTTTTTTAATAAAAGAGATTGAGATGTAACTTGTAAGTTAATTTATTTCGTAATATAAAGTATGTAAATGAAACTAAAGATAGTTGATTTGGCTATTATAAATTCTACGATCGCAAAATTAACGATAGAATTGTAGATGATGTGAATCCATATTATACTAGTTTGTTAGCAATTCAATTATATTTCTTATATATATGCTTTATCGTGAAATTATCGATCATAAATTTAAACAATTATATTAACGAGAAGATAGGGTAAATACTCCAATTCTAGAAGATTCTTATTAAAGAAGCAAACTTTCATTGGTCCTCAATATTTTTAAAAAATAATAGTGTTTTTAGTTTGTCCATATTTATGTAGGGGCCTATTATTAATAATTATTATTTGAGCTATTGCAATTGTATAGGAGAATCTATAGCTAATGATTGTCACACACTATGAATTGAATTTGGCCATATTTTTTCTACATAATATATAGTTGGTATCCTTTTTAATTAAAAATATATAAATTGATCTACCACATTTGAATTCAATATTGTTTGCACTTTGCGTCATCAACACATTTAATATGTTTTAGTTCAACTTTTACACTACTTATTTTTAGATAGAGACATATTACATATGCACTTAGGTAATACAAACATCATTATCTATATTGTTCACTAAAAGTCCAAAAAAGAAATATTATAAATAATAATAATAATAATATATATATAACTTTCATTTCAAAATGAATGATGATAACTAATTATGAGGATTACACTCATTGCTGAACTTAATTGAATATTTCTTGGCACAATCTAACGACAATCATGTATTAATTATGTTTAGGGGTGGGCATTCGGTAATTCGGTTCGATTTTGTTTTTTTGGTTTTCGGTTCTTGTATAATGTATACTGAACACCGAATCGAAATAATTCGGTTCGGTTCGATTTTGTTATTTCAATTTTTTTAATGGGCTTGCTTAGTTTGACTTTTAAAAATTTACAAGTTTGTTTGATTTTTCAGCTTAATGGGCTAAAAATAGTTATATCAAAAAATGTCTTTTACTTTTTACTTTTAAATTATAATTTTTATTGTTTAACATTAATAATTAATATAATATAAATATATATTATAATATAATATATTTCGGTAAACCGAAATACCGAATTACACAAAATTACATACCGAAAACCGAACCGAAATACCTAAAATACAAAAACATATACCGAATATCAAATCGAAAATCAAAATATCAAAAAAATTCGATTCGGTACGATATTTCAATTTTCCAGTGTTTATGCCCAGTCCTAATTGTGTTCGCATTTTAAAAGATATTATATATTTTTTAAAAAAAAAAAGATAAAAATAATTAACATCATATCAAATAATTTATTTTAATTTTGAAGAAAACAAAAATATGAGTATTATGAGATCATTATTTTAAAAATAAGACTTTAATTACTATACCGCATGATTAATTGTATAATATTCATTTTATACTAATTATTCACCTTGTATAATTTTTTGTTTAGTTGATATTTAGAACTATTGAAAGTTAGAATTATTACTTTTAGCAATGACTTTATTGGTATTATGACAAATTACTTTTCAAAAAATATAATAAAATATTGATCATAAAAGGGAAGTGATCCTAATGTATATAGACCATTCAATCAAAAAGGTTCCTCATTTTTTTAGAATCGTTTCGTAAGTGGAATGAGATAAATAATTTATTTTCATAAATTTATTTTATTTCGTTTTTTATATATAAAACGATAATATATTATTTTAGTGTAATCAGTTAGATAAATAATTTCAAAATTAATTAATATCCCATATCAAATATAAAATAAAATTAATATCAAATTTTATCTCAAAACTATTATATTATTAAAATTTCAGCTAGCCTGTTCAACAAGAAAAATTGCATTTTGGATATTAGAAAAAAAGGTTTGATTTTTGTTACTATATTGAAAAAACCTTTATATTTTATCCTTTCACAAATTATTTTAAGTTTAATCACATTTTAACTGTTAGAGAATATCATGGTACAATTTAGGAATCTTTTATTCTTTATTGAACAAAAAATAATTAGGTCTCTTTTGGAATCAATTCCAAATTGAACGTGGCACAACTTAATAATTATGTCTTTGAAATTTTGTGTAACAAGCTAATTAATAATTGTAAAAATGCAATTAGTTCTATCGATAAAACAAAATTATTTTTGGTTATTTGACTTAACTATTTTAATTTTCGTTAACTGTTCTACTATCAATTAAGCTTCGATTCAAAAGGAAGAAGTAAGGGAATATCGATCGTGTAAAAGTCATTGTGTTTACGTTTTTTTTGTCTATTAACATTGTTTTTTTTATTACAATTAGCGTGTTTGACGAATAACTTATTGTATTTACAACACTTAAAAAATAATTACACTAACTTTATTTACTAATCAAAATGAATAAAAAATTCAATTTGTAGAGGAAAATATTGACTACATAAACAATTATTAACTAAAGATACAGTGAGACTGCTCATTTTGTAATCAGAAGTTTCGTATTATGGATATACAAAAATCTTTAATCAGAAATATGACAAGTATGCAATTTCCGATGGTTTTAACTCTTTAACTTAACGTCTTATACAATCTCTATAATACAAACAAAAGTTAAAACATCATATACGTATATCACAGAGTTCAAGTTCTAAACACTAATACTATAAACAAACACTTTATATTATCCATAACACTTACAAAAATAACAACAGAATAAATCTTGGTTCGAGAAATCAAAACAAGAGAAAAGTATTGTCTAATCAACGGCTGTCACGCAGAGTTTTATCGAACTACTTATTTCTTAATGAGAAATGCTTGATTTTAAACTTTGAATATGAAAAAATCTTTAACAGAAAACATTTCTTTCAAAGAAGCTCTATAAAACATAAATTCAAATTAATTAAATTTCAAATATTTCAATAGAGATATCGAACAACAAATGAAAAAATAATACGTAAAAATATGTGTATATTAAGAGGGACCACAAAAAGAAACTATGGATAGTGCCGCACCTTTTAGTTCCCTGTGCCACATTAACCATTCTTTTTCATTCAATCTGCTAGCAGTTGTCTCTCTTTATAGCTAAACAAAAATTAAAGAAATGGGAGTGATAAAGCTCTAGCCGCCTCAGCACACCAAAATCCTAATCATTTTGCTGATACCCAATTGTCTCTATATATATATTGGAAGGTTTTCTTTCAATTTTCAGTCAATTCTATAGAACAAACCCTACAAAGTCTTAATTTTTCCAGTTTACTGAGCCAAGGTATCACCTTTTTGTCACCTTTTATGTTGGTTTCAGTTAGTTTTGTTAATCAAGATTCAATTTTTCTGACATACCCATGTTTCTTTTGTATGCTTTTGTTGCATTTCTGTTTTCTTCATGAAGTTGTTTTGGTTAATCAAGATTCAGTTTTTCTGAAGCCCCATGATTTTTTTCTTTTAGTTTTGGTTTGATGGTTTTGTTAGTTGTGTTGTAATTCTTGTTTGTTGCCATATGGGGGTTGATAGTATTGATTAAAGATTCAAAATTTATACATGTGGGTTGTGGTAGTCTGATTGAATGACATGCATAGTAAACTAGAAAGAAGAAAGAGATAAATGCTTTAGATAATGTGAACAAGACTTGTATTATAGGTTAGACTGCTTTACAAGTTTCAGTTTCTCGTGTTCTTCTGAGTAGTTTTAAGTGTTGAATGAAATGGCATTGTGTAAGATTGCATTTGATGGTCTGGGATTCAGGTATGATTGATGCAGGACAGGAATATCAAGCCACATTTTCTTTATTGTAGCTGTGTTTCGATATGGAATGAGATGGGGGTGGGGTGGGGGAGTTTACAGCATGTAGAATTGTAGAGCACTGTAATGAAAATTTCTAGATTATTGCAATTCGAATCTTATGTTGCTTATATAGTACATCTTAATTAACTTTAATATTTGTTCGGATTGGTGATTGAGCCTGCTGGGTAGTTGGGTTGGCCCTATCCTATTGGTGTATAACTATGCTCAATGAAGATGCGAGAGGTTCATTTGACGTTTCCCATCAAAAGTACTCTTCAATCATTATTTAGTTATCCTCTTCTGTTACTAAATGTAATACACAAGTTAAACAATAATCTGAATTCCTTGTCTACTCAAATGGCATACATTCTAGTTAAAAGTGGTTGACATCAGTTTTTCCTGTGATATTCAGGCACAAAGCATGGCCTTGATGTCTCAGGCAGGTTCTTCACATTGCATTTACTCTGAAAAGGTAAGATGTATCAGTGGACATAGAAGCATCATTAACAATATGGATATGTTCAGAATGCGGGAGATATGCTTTGGCGTGGATATTTCTTCACGCAATGCCTCAAGACGAGTGCAAGGGAATTATTTGAATCACATAGGAGTGGGAAGTAGACGTGGAGACCTGACAATTGTAGCTGCAAGTCCTCCAACAGAGGATGCTGTTGTTGCAGCAGAGCCGTTAACAAAAGAAGATCTTGTAGGATATCTTGCTTCTGGATGCAAATCCAAAGAAAAGTGGAGGTTCGAAGTTAAACTTTTCTTAGTGCTCTTAAATTTCAGTTGCATATAGTTAACCAAGAATATGAATATTCATTCTCTCGTTTGGCCTTTATAAGTAGAATAGTCTGCTCATTCACCACATATATGCCTTGATTGTCTTTCAAGTATGTCGAGTAATTCATGAATCAATTCACATCGCTTGTGTATTTTAATATACGGCTATTTTTTATGTAGTTATTCTTTCTTCAGCTTCTGTTGTAGTGTATGATACGGTAGATGTATTATATACTTTTTACATGTCATTATTGTGGTTATTTCTCATTTTCCATTTCTAAGAAATATAAATATCATGGGCAAATTCTCACCGTCATGCATTCAAGATGTGGATACTAGGGAACTAGGACATGATGCAGCTCTTTTCATTGAACTAACAAGTTGTACCATTTGGGCAACTTGAACACTGGAAACATTAATCAATTTTTCCTAGGACACTGCTGTCTCTAATTTTGTTGCAAATTTTGAATTGTTGAAATTTCGGTAATACAATTTTTGAACATGGAGTTGGGAGCCATTCCCTGGATCAGGTATTTTTTCATAAATGTGGTAGCTAGGATTCTGCCTCAGTCATTATTTGGATAGTTTGTTTTACTTAACTGTGCGTCTGGATCTAGACCATAATAATCAGGTTCAACTTTTCTTGTTCTCTCAAAACTTGATGAGCAGGATAGGCACTGAACATGAAAAGTTTGGTTTCGAGTTTGGAACCCTGCGACCCATGAAGTATGATCAAATAGCTGACTTGCTAAATGGTATTGCTGAGCGGTTTGATTGGGAAAAAGTAATGGAGGGTGACAAGATTATTGGCCTGAAACAGGTAACGTGAACTTGGTGCAAACTTTGGTTTAAAATATTCTAGGTTGAATTTGTCATGGCTCCATACAATGTATTATGCTACTTACCATGAATAGAATCATAATTCCTGGTTCATTTTTTTCCTCAAGTGCAAGTCTGTAGTAAGTAGTAATTACTTTAGCATAATTGGTGGATAATTTGCACTGTCTTCGCAGGGAAAGCAAAGCATATCATTAGAACCTGGTGGTCAGTTTGAGCTTAGTGGTGCACCACTTGAAACACTGCATCAAACTTGTGCAGAGGTTAATTCACATCTTTACCAGGTTTGTACTTTTGAAACTCCATCAGTTTCCCTTTTAATGAAATAGTGGGCAATTAAGATCTTTCTAACTATACATAGTCTGCACTGGGGAAATGTAAGCGAACTTTAATTATGCGATAACATGGCTTGGAATAAAAGGGAATCTCATTTTTTTGAGTTTGAGAAATCCTGCAAATGTGTCGGCCATTTTTGCTTCAGGTGGTTGATGACTTATTACACTAGGGATTCTTTACCCAGTATTCTGGTTCTTCTGATCAGAGTCTCTAGTTGTATAAGAAAATGTTGCTTCAAAAGAACATTGTTGGGGTGAAAGTAAAGTTATGACTTCCTGACTGTCTTGTCGATGAACATTTGGAGGCAAGAAAACCGAAGCTATTCTCACAGGAGAAATATTCACGGATAAATTTAAGTTTTGCTGATATGTAATAGTTTTCGTCTAATGGTACAGGTTAAAGCTGTTGCAGAAGAGATGGGAATTGGATTCTTAGGAACTGGATTCCAGCCAAAGTGGGGGCTGAAAGATATACCAATAATGCCGAAGGTAAAAACAATATGCTGATCGATGTTGTAACCAAAAGATTTGTTTGGTGTGTTGGTAACTTAGCATCTTATCTCTTTGAGACTGCTATTTTAACAGTGAAAAGATGTTAATATTTTTGTACACGACCATTTCACATATTGTTCAGCATGTCAAGTGCAGTAGAATCCCAGTTTCTAATATAATTTCATTATTCATTATTATTTGATGAGACTAGTGTAGCTCGAAGCTCATTCTCTCTGATTTCATCATTTTGCAACACCTCATCTTTTTACCTACAAACCTTACCAGACAATGCCTATTTCGCATAGTTATTTTTGAAGTGAAATTTTTTTCTAATCCACCTTCGATCATGAAAATCATGAATAAGTTAATCATCGTTGATATTTCTAGGAGCCGAAGAGATGACAGATGAGATATTGTTCTAATGATTAGTTATTCAGATAAATGGTTCAGATGTAGCTTGTCTCACATCTTATTTCTTCTCTAAAAGACACAAGAACAAGTAAATAAAGGTGTAGAACTTCAATTCTTTCCTTTTGAGCTAATCATTCATCTTCTCCATTAGGCTAATCTAGATTAACAATCCCCACTTCTTCGACTCTTCTCTTACGGATTTAATAAAAAGGACGAAGGAGAAAGAACAAAAGAAAGCTAAAAAAATCTTTTAGTTGCTGTACTATTCTCTTACTGTCAACTCGAAGATTAAAAAATTTAGCTTTCTTTTTCTTTTCCTGATCAAAAAGAAAATTACGATTTGACAGTAAGGGAATGCTAAACCTGATCCTTGGACCAGATCTAGTAATTATTTCCAATAAATGGAAATTATATATAGATCTTGCCTACCTTTTCCCCCCAGAGTCTTCACAATTTAGAAATGCAAATAGTTTCCCCCCACTTGTTTCTTTTATGTTCTTTACTTATTTACTTTTAACTAAGCCAGAATTATGGTATGTTATTTTGATTTGCAGCTGTAATTTAAAAATAATATTTGCACCATCTACCTCTATTCATATTCTGTACTATGTACAACATCATGTGCTTCTCAGACCTCAATATTATTTGTGTTGTCATGTTCTTCTAGCTTTGAAAGATATATCTATTTCTTACTTTTCTCAAGTATGATTTGACCTCTTAGATCTGCGATCAGCTTGTGTTTTCACTGACAAAGTACTTTGACTCAGGGGAGATATGAGATTATGAGAAATTACATGCCTAAAGTTGGCTCACTTGGGCTGGATATGATGTTTAGAACATGCACTGTTCAGGTAAGCTGAATGGTTTAGCTTTTTTCTTTTCATTTCGTTCCATTTTTTTGATGGGATGCCATTGCCCCTTGACTATTGGAGTGCATACCCCTGTGCAGCATTCAAAGCTATATTTTTTTTTCCTGCCCATTTGTGTCTGGGTTCCCGTCATGCCCTGCATGGTAACATTCATTAGTAAGTTGAATCAATATTTACGAATATGTTGTTGACAGGTAAATCTGGACTTCAGTTCTGAAGCTGACATGATCAGAAAGTTCCGTGCTGGTCTTGCCTTGCAGCCTGTATGGTACCTTTATCCTTTCTGTCCTTTCTATTTCTACATGAAACTTATTTAGTTATCTAACTAATACAATGAAACAGATTGCTACAGCTCTATTTGCAAATTCACCTTTCACTGAAGGAAAACCTAATGGTTATCTCAGCAAGAGAAGGTATGTGTTTAAAAAATATAATGCTTGTTTCTTTGAGGACTATAATCGAAGTTGTACATAACAATTTTTTGTTTGTTTCACCAGCCACATTTGGACCGATACAGATAATAACCGCGCTGGGATGCTTCCTTTCGTCTTTGATGACTCTTTTGGGTAAGTTCTCCTGTTTTTGCAAATAGTTATAGTTTCTTGAGTCGTGACATATTATTTTCTTTCTTCAGTCAAGATTACGTTTGTTAAAGTTGGAGGGCAAATGGTAGGGGCAGTCGGAGTCATATTAACATTTTCTTTTTCTTGTGGTATTTGTAAATGAATTCTTTAAAACTACTCATATGTCTAACCTGATTGTTTTGAAAAAGTGAAGAAACAATTCGACCTATTTACTTGAAACGGAAAGGGTAATTCAACTTATACTATTTAACCACATATGTTGTGCTGGTTCATAATTATATAGTACATGTGACCACATGAAGGAGACATTATTGTCTACTAGCAATCAATTTCACTTCTTTTGAATGCTGAGTTGAGGTTCATTTCGGGCATTTATGCCTTCACACTATGATTTTCAGCTGGAATTGTGTATATATCTTTTTGTTACCTAAGGCTGCTGTGGGATGGTCTTCAAAGCTTCTTGACTTGTCAGAAAAAACCGTGCTTCCTTGTACTTTTAAGCGCATGGTCCTTTTGTTTAATGTATCTCATGGTGAATGCACTTGTCGTACATTATACACGAGCTAGGTTAGGGAAATGGATAAGATTTGTTGGAGTTCGAGATGGGCTGTCCTAACCTGTTTTGATGTTTGTCAACAGAGCTATGTGATGGGTTAGGAATCAAATGAAATTGTGTATTTAGTGTTAGCAAAATTCATCTTTTGTTGTCATCTTCAGAACTTCCATTGATTAATTTCGTTTTCACAGCAAACATTTTCTTTTCTAATGGACGCAGGTTTGAGCAATATGTAGATTATGCACTTGATGTCCCAATGTATTTTGTCTATCGGAAGAAGAAGTATGTTGATTGTACTGGATTGTCTTTCCGGGTATGTTATTTATAACAATAACAGATTTATAAATGTCACTCTCTTGTGCTGATTTAACAACATTGCTGCAGGACTTCATGAATGGAAAACTTCCGCCCATTCCCGGCGAATACCCTACTCTTAATGATTGGGAGAATCATCTCACAACAATATTTCCTGAGGTATGCAAGCTTCATCCAAGAAAATGTCCTTTACTACTGGTTTGTCTATGTATGGTTATGGAAGTATGAACTCGGGTTAACTATATCAGGTCAGACTCAAAAGATATCTGGAAATGAGAGGTGCTGATGGAGGGCCTTGGAGACGGTTATGCGCATTGCCTGCATTCTGGGTATGCAATCTGACTCTAGGATTTATGATGTTGTTTTTTGTAAAAGAAGGAAACAAAAAGCGAGTATTACTCGGTAAAGCACCAGGGAAAGGGAGAATAGAATATTGTGCTCACCTCACCTCCCACTGAGAGGAACTTCTTACTCTTTCTCCTGTTTGTTGGGACAATTGCAAAGTTTGTTGTGGCTACTTTGAACCAAACAGCTCAGTCATCTTCTTTTTTTCCTTTTCTTTTTTTCAGGTGGGTATACTCTACGATGAGGGGTCTTTGCAAAGCGTTTTGGACATGACATTTGATTGGACTGCAGAAGAAAGAGACATGTTAAGGAATAAGGTAATATATCCTTGCTCATTAAAGATTATCATGCATTTCCTACCTAATCTGTAATTAGCTAATGTATCCATGGCTGCTGATATATCTGCATTTTGTAAGCATTTATCTATGTTTTATTGTTATGTAACAATTCGTTCTCCTTTTTTTCTGTTTTTTTTTGGTTATCTTCTCGTGATGTCAAATTTGAACTCTTCAGAAACTGTCGAGAGAAAATAAAAAGCATCCAACTGTCTTATTGTAGTCTCTAGTCATTTTTCTATTCTTTATCTTCTTGTTGATTTCAATATTGTGTATTGAAAATGGTCCATATCCTCATGCTTGGAAAAGAGAAACTGTAAATAGGCCTTTATTTTTATACACTCTGAAATCCTATCTGTATTAAAATATGCTTGCTTTGCTCTTCTCCTTGTGGAACTTGGACAAACAAAATCATTTAGAAACAAAAAAGGGCAATGTGACCATGAATTCTCTATCTAAGAAAAAAAACAGTTGCTTTTCTTAAACTATAATTTTCAGTTCCTCAGATTTGGGGTTAGTAATTTATATTCAATATTGGAGATGACTAATATCACTCCCATTTAGTAGGTGCCAAAAAGTGGTCTGAAGACACCATTTCGAGATGGATTGCTTATGCATGTTGCTCAAGATGTTGTCAAGTTGGCAAAGGTGGGTTAAAGCTTCTAATGCTCCATGTCTTGGTATATTTCTACATGCTTACTAACTCATTATTTGCTTTCCGATCTTCAGGAAGGCTTGGAAAGAAGAGGCTTTAAGGAAACAGGATTTCTGAACGAAGTAGCCGAGGTTGTTAAAACAGGTAAGTAACGACGTAAATTTTTGGTTTGAGATTGTCTTTTTGGACTTGTGTTAGTATCTTTGTCTTTGGATACAACACAAAGTCAAATAATGATACATTATTTAAACTGCTAGATCCATTTAGAGTTCCAATTGAACTGTTATTTGTACTTCTGGTAGGTGTAACACCAGCTGAGAAGCTACTGGAATTGTACCATGGGAAGTGGGGACAAAGTGTGGATCCTATCTTTGAGGAGCTTCTCTACTGAAGTTGTTTGAGAGTGCAATTTCAATTCTGTCTTTTTCCTGTGTTGTAAATGATTTCTCAATTTCATTGAGAGTTATATCAGCCGATTTTTCCATCGTTAGACAAATAATCTAGCTAGCTAGATTAAGATATGTTACATGTATCTATGGCTCGAAAACGTCATATGTAGCTCTCTCCCCTTGGGATGTGATCAATCTGGTTCCAGATAGCATTTGTATACATTTTCCCCAGAAAAGTAACATAGCAATGCTAAAGTAATAAATGAATCTATTGGCTGACCAACTTTACTTGTTTCTGCTTAGACTGTTTCTTCCCCCTCTCCCCCATCACTCACACCCATTCACACAGACAGTGATGCACCGCGGAGTCTAACGCCTATTTAGCAGCAAACTGTTCTGTAATTTTATCAGGTAGATACTGCATTATTGTTATTACAGCCCACAGGTAGCAGCTACATTTGCAACAGTGCTAGTTGCAACATGGAGCATCTGATGCATAAGGTTCAGCCTTATCCAAACAACATACCCGACGTTATCCTATGATGTGTCAGGGGAGGGTAATGTATATCCTATGATGTGTCAGGGGAGGGTAATGTATATGTAGACTTTACGTGCATCGCTGATCCATGGTTAAAAATTCATATTGAAGTGGTGTGTATCAAAACAAGACTTTTTAGCTGCTACCTGTGGGCTGCAAAGTAGCATCTCTATGAATGTTATGACACAATAGGAACTAAGCAGAGCAGATGACACAAAGATGAACCATTAGGATATGAGTAGGTCCTTCTGAAAATTATCATGTAATTGAGGCACACGAAAGCTAGCTCGATACCTCTATAAATATAAGTAGGCTCCTATAAAGCTGGTGGAAGGGTAACAAGTACGCGGAAGCTAGACTAACACCTCCATGAACATAAGTAGGCTCTTTTGGAGTTGGTGGAAGATAGTCGGTATCTAGTCAGATAGTTGAGATATATTCGAGTTAATCCGACATCACCACGATATAAGTAGACTCTTGTAAAGCGGTGGAAGATAGCAAATATCTTATAGAACATGATATAAGCGGATTATCTTGAAGTTGACACAAAGGATACAAGTGTCTAGTGAAATAGTCGAGGTGTCTCGAAGCTAACTTAGTAACATAGTTAAAAACAGACAAAGCTAATCTAAACACCATAATTATCCAAAAAAATAGGCTCTTTTATAGAAATTGGATGAAATGTATATCTTGGGCCCAAAAGTTCATCTGGGCTCAGGCCCAAAACTTTCATCTGAGCTCAGGCCCAAGAAGCTTTACCTTTTTACAGCCCACTGTTTTTCCCTTGCGGGTCAAGAAAACCATGGGCCAATCAGCGAAAAGCCCTAGACAGTTTTATCCACAATTAAACCCCAATCAATAACTGCTATACGCGCACCTCAAGAGCGTGCCAACACGTCAAATCTTATTCTTAACCAAGAAGTAACAAGTCAATAAATAAATATAAATAAATCAAACATTGACTTGGACTTGACTTGATATTGGAGAAAAATGATAAAATTATATTTTGAAAACGAGAAGAAAATTGTTCAGATGGTAAATATTAATAATATTCTGTTTTAAACGTTATGATTATAATTTTAATTTGTCAAGAAAACGAAAAGGTGGAAGCTTCTATATAGGTGTATATAAGAAAAAAATGCAGGCGAAAATTAGAGTAAAAGATAGTCGAATGTCATAAATATAAGTTACTTTAATCATTTATCAAAAATAATACTTTTGCCTTTAAAAGATCAATACAAATAAAGTTATGTACATATCAATATTAAAATTTATTAATGTCGTCAAATATAAGAAAGGAAAAAGAAGAAAGTCTTTGTCATTATTTGAGTATTAAAAGATTTGATTCAAGTCCTTCTAAGTATAGAGTCGTTTTTATTAAGGAATGTTTCATCTTTCAATAAATTAGAAATTTCAGCAAGAATCTAAATTTAGTAGAACCTTAAAGAATGATTACTCAATAGTAATTATATGTATTACCTTATATATTTACTGTAACGTAAAATATTTATTGAGAAATATTAAATAATTATTGATTCAACTACATATCACATAAGAAATTATTTTTGTTCATGTCTATATATAAATAGCATCACATTGAATTCCAATGCGATTGGGGAAAATTTGAAAAAAAGAAGAGGAAATTTGATATTATAAAGATTTGGTTAAGTTAATCACGTAAGGTTCATTTGGAATGAATAAAATTTATCTATTTTTATTCAATAATCTCGAATACATATAGATAAAAATATCAATAACTATAATATATTTAGTATAATTCCTTATGTGAGGTCCAGAGTTTACAAGAACATGCTCAAATCCTACCCACATCTCATGAACTAGACAAAAATGTTGTTTCTGGCCTATCATTGTCTTAAAGTAAAATATTTTCAAATAATTTGAAAAAGAAAAAACACAAAAAATTATAATAACAATAAAATAGCGTGAAATGATGAGCATTACATAATATATAAATGAAAGAACATTTGTGACAACAATATACTCAGATATTTGAAACTAAAAAAATATATATATGATAATCAAATATGAAGAATAAAAAATTACGAGTATAGCATCAATATCATTAATAAGAAAGAAGATCAAAGTGCGATCACCAAATTAAAACCTCTCCGCATGAAAAGTAAGAAAACATTCAATTGTCAATTAACTTTTCTATCATAATTTTTAACCTTCGTACCTTCGTATTTAAAATCATATCATCGATATTGATAAATTCAATTTTAAACTTCTTAATGTTATAGTATTTTCAATGTCTTATTAAAAATAACTTCATATATAACGTTTCATATGTTTGACTGATTAAGAGTTATAAATTTACATGAGCAAAAAGGCTATATTCATTCCTAATCTCAAGGGTCAAATCTTAATATGATTTGATTTAAATAAAAATTACTTTTCATTTAAACTGTTAAATCTATAAAAATATCAATATTTATATTTTTTATATTAAACGACCCCTAAATTACGTACTTTCCTCACAGTAATCAACCAAATCCGTGACCTCACGCTCTGTTAGATTCTTCAAGTCCCATAGATTCCTTAAAACATTGTCGTAATATTTCTGAATTTTAGACCTTTTTATAAAAATCCCAGTTCCCACAAAACTTGCAAAAAAACTAACCTAAAAAAGCAATAAAATAAAATAAAATAAAAATTAAAAAAAAAGGGAAAAAAAAGGAAGAAGAAAAAATCCAAAAGAAGACTACTAAAAACACAAGAAGAGATATCTAAACACTAAAAACACACCCACGTTGAGAAAGAGAGTTTTTTTTTCCTTCAATTTGAGGGACAAGAATCTATCAAGACTCAATTTTTATGATTTCTTTATTCAAAGGTATGTTAAAGATTTCATTTTTAATAGTTTTTGTACCTATACATTTCAAGAATCTTGAATTTTTAAGCGATTTGAGGCATATATGAATGTTTGTATGAATCTTTACTGCAGATTTTGTTATTGGGTATTGATAATCTTGAGGATATAGTAGTTTTATCATTAATGGGGAGAGGGAGACCTAGGGCTGTAGAGAAAGGGGTGTTAGGGCAAAATACCAGTGCATCCCCAAGTGGGTTATTGAATATACCACCAGGGCCAGTATATTATCCAACTGAGGATGAATTTAAGGACCCTTTAGAGTTCATTTACAAGATCAGGCCAGAGGCTGAGAAATATGGTATTTGTAAAATTGTTCCACCCAAGAGTTGGAAACCCCCTTATGCATTGGATTTGAACACCTTCACATTTCCGACGAAAACGCAAGCTATTCATCAGTTACAGGCTCGGTGTGCGTCTTGTGATCCGAAGACGTTTGAGTTGGAATACAATAGGTTCTTAGAGGAGCATTGTGGAAAGAAGGCGAAAAAACGTATAGTGTTTGAGGGAGAGGACCTTGATTTGTGCAAGTTGTATAATTTTGTTAAGCGGTTTGGAGGGTATGATAAAGTAGTGAAGGAGAAGAAGTGGGGTGAGGTTTTTAGGTTTGTTCGGCCTGCTGGGAAGATTTCGGAGTGTGCCAAGCATGTATTATTTCAATTGTACCTGGAACATTTGTATGATTATGAAGAGTACTATAGTAAGTTAAATAAGCTGGGTCATAGAAGTTGCAGGAGAGGAAACCAAAGTGAGAGAAAAAGGGAGTCAGACTCCCCATCCTCAAGTAGTAAGAGAAGGAGAAAGAACAGTGAGGGTGATCGAACTGAAACACGTAAGACGAAGGAGGAGGAAGAACACGATCAAATATGTGAGCAATGCAAAAGTGGATTGCATGGGGAGGTGATGCTTCTTTGTGATCGGTGCAACAAGGGATGGCATATGTTCTGTTTATCACCTCCTCTGGAACAAGTTCCACCGGGGAACTGGTATTGCTTGCAATGTTTGAATTCTGAAAAGGATAGCTTTGGTTTCGCACCTGGTAGAGAGTTGCCATTGGATGCATTTAGGCGCATTGCTGATCGTGCCAAGAAAAGATGGTTTGGTTCCACATCAATTTCACAGGTGCAATTGGAGAAGAAATTCTGGGAAATTGTGGAGGGATCAGCTGGGGAGGTTGAAGTGAAGTATGGCAGTGACTTGGATACTTCCATCTATGGTAGTGGATTTCCACGTCTAACTGATGAAAAACCATCATCAGTCGAACCAGGTACATGGGATGAATATTGTGCTAGCCCTTGGAACCTCAATAACTTACCCAAGCTGCCAGGTTCGATGCTTCGAGCTGTACATCATAGCATTGCTGGTGTTATGGTGCCTTGGCTGTATATTGGAATGCTATTCTCTTCATTCTGCTGGCATTTTGAAGACCACTGCTTTTACTCCATGAATTATCATCACTGGTACGAGTGCCAATTATTATAGTATTGTTGTTATTATTAGTTTTAATCTTAAGTTAATTTTTTTGTTCTCACAAAATAAATGGCTACATGGTAAGACATTATTATGTAATTCTCTACTTCTTTGTATACGGCTTGTTAAGATTTATAGAATTATTTACGTCATACAAAAAAAAGGAACTCTTCTTTCACTTCAACTGAAAGTCAGCATTATAGCAAAATGAATACCTTTCACAATCTTTAGACTTTATACCAGACAAACAATAGATAAATCTGCTTAGAATGTTTTCTATTGATTTGGAAATGAATAAGTTCGATTCATTATATGATATACAATCACTCAAAGAAATGTCACATACTTCTATCTAACCAGTAGTTTCATGTAATTTACATGTGCA